ACGGAATGAAGGCACCTAAAATATTGCCAGCTACTTTTATTTGAGGTTTCGTCCTTGAGTCACGACAAGTTTGTTAAAATTCCGAGATGGACTGTATAGCTGTTTTAGCGTTCCGCAACTCGAGAAATTCTAGAAGGTTTCATGTCCGCGATCTTCGGATTTAGTTCAACCGCTCGCCTATGAAAGGATAATCAGCGGTCTGCCGAATACTGCTTTGTCCCGAATATATCCTCAGTTAGTCATCACCCACCATCAATTAATCGATCCATTGGATCACCTTGGAGTTTTTCGTGATGCGTCCTGTCGCAGATTTCAAACAGGTTCAAAACGGCTGCACGATTCTTCTTGGCATGAAGTAGCTCCACCAAAAAGAAAATGCCTCAATGAAAGTTTACAAACATTTACATGAAAAACTGGTTTTTCGTCTTTGACAAAAGGGCACCAAACTTATGGCTAACGTAACAATCATAAAAATGAATCATTCATTGTACCTGATGATTGAACTGTACCACTGTAAAAACACAAGACTACACGGTAAAATCGGTGACCTATGTTCAAGATTTGGTTGGTTTCAGAACTGTATAAGATAAACTCACCTATTTTACGCATAGGTCAAACATGCGGGACTGATGGGTGGACTGGTGTTGCAACCTTCGAAATAATACCTATCCAGATCATAACTTCTAGGTTGAGGACAAAAGCTGTTTCTTCACTTTTGCTTAAAACCAGAGAGATGTAAAATACACTGTGATGAGAACGACAACCATGGCCTTAAAATTAGTTCCATAGAAATTGTTTCGCTAATGATATGAGCAGACTCTTTAAAATTTGGAAACAAATACTACGAACTTTGTTGGGCAAGGTCAATTCAAGAGATGCGCCACAGACTTACTGGGACAAGACCCGGACACACAAAAATTTCGTTGAGGAAACATGAATAAAATAAATGCTTACCAGCCTTTGGATGTCAAGACAGCTGATATGTTCTCGCAAAAATAGCACTTCCACGATCCAATAATACTGAGCTCTATTCTATCTGAAACGTGGCCTCCAGAGACCCTGTTTGTTCTTTAGCTATCAGTGAAAAATTCATGCACCTATATGAAACTTCTACTCGAATTTCAGCGGCACAATTGTTGGTGGAGGAAAGTAAGTTTTCACTGTTACAACAATTAGATTTCTTCTGTATATTTTCATGAAAAATGTAATGATAGTTCATGATTCCACTGCAGCAAGCGCGGCAATATGGAGTTCCAATTTTGGGGATTTGCGGGATAGGAAAGTTGTACATAGTCACACCACTCCCGTTTGAAAGGCCGTGTTCCCGTTCTGGCATAATTATTCGGGTGAGTCCACACCAAAGGGAAGCACTGAACTCGAGTTTCGCTCTTATTAGAGCTTATCAGCAGTGCATATCCAAAGGCCGTGCTGGTATTTGAACCCAAGATATCTGACAAGCGAAGCGAGCGTGTAACAACTACTCCACCAACACGCGTTGGACGCATCTGAATTTACAGGTCTGAACAGGCGAACGTGATCACAATTGAGCGATGTGATTCGAGTTACCGACTCATCGGTCGACGACCCAGTTGTTGTTGTATTTTGACATAAAAAGTGGGTGAGCAGGCTTGTACTTTCTCAAATTTCTTGGGAATTTATAAAGCGCTGCATAAGATTCAAAAGAAGTCTATACGCCAAAGTGATTAAAATCAAAATATTACTTGATTCTTGTTGCATTTTCACTTGAGGAAGAAAATACCAGTAACATCATTTGTTCGGCTTAGTACGACACAAAAAACGAAGTACAAGGAATTCCCTGGATTTACGTTCCAGAAGCAGTGCCCCCGCAAATTTGTGGGCTATTCATCTTAACCTCCAATGGTGCACAATTCGTCCTTTGGGATTCTGAGTCATCCTCTCCAGCCTTACAATTAAAACCGAGCTGATTTATAAGAAAATTCACTTTGTTCTTCTATATGAAGCAACAAACAGTTTGCAAAATATTAGGCCAAAATAACAAGTGCCTGCAATTGAGAAAGGTGCAGAAGTGTTCAACAAAACAAAACAGCACAAGAATGCAAAACGTGTGGATATAAAATGTTCACAGAAGACCAACGAACACCTGCAAACGATAAGATGGAAGGCCGTCATTCGGCCGATCACTCTATCTAAATTTTGTGTACTTATTTTAAAAGGTGCCAAATATCTTGAAGACGGTAAGCCATATTTCGGCGTATTTTAAATAATAATACCAAACTGTATATGCAATTGTATGTGACGAAAGTTAGCATAAGTATAGGTTTTTTTATGGATAGCTCCAAATTACTGACGCAGGCGAACAAACCATCAAATCAATGTTTCATGCCTCACCACTTGGCCCTAAACTACGCGTCGATAACAATTTATTATTTTTATTGTAACTCTCGTTTAGTTCAGAATTTACTGTGCCAAATTTCGTCAATCTATCCCGTTTTTGAGTCTCCAATTTGTAAAAGAATCTGGTAAACCGCTCCAAAGCCCAGCGTGTTTGGACACTAAATGAATGCAGCTGCGGCACCTGCAATTAATAACTCAGAGCGTTAAACATATTGGCACATATAAGATGGTCAATCTCATGGTTGATTTTCGGAACTCAGCAGACTGTCCTAATGTTGCTTATATAAACTAAAAATGTCATGTAATCCAAAAGCGTCTACTGGCTATTTTTATCGTGCTTATTCTTAGCTGAATGTTCACAAGATTAGCAAAAGATCATCAAGTGTGGAGGGAGAACAGTTTTCCAAAAGGTGGAAAAGTCTGAAATCCTCCTATTGGTCCTGTTTATTAGTAAAATGAAACAATTTTGTTTCAGAATACAAGGACCTTGAAGAGGGTGAGTTTCTACATCAATTAATCTTGCTACTACGTAGGATCACACGGTGTGTTGCTAGCACATGAATGGGTAGATAAAATTACTTTTACGGTTTTCATCAGTGACTAACTGGCACGCCCAAATGAACAGCCAGGTGTTTTTCTTTATAATCCTTGTTATTTAGCTTATCATTAAGAAGTACATTGTGATGGTATTATCCACTGCATTCTACAGAAACGTGTGGCTAAACAAACAAGTTGTAAACGGTCAGACAACAAAATAGGGCGAATGAGTATCTCTTAATAAACCAGGGAAAGTAAATTAAGGTATAAAGAAGGTATGCACCTAAGCGACCACGTTCATGGAACGCAGACAGGACTGCAACGCACAGTATAAAAGGACCAATCAGGTCATCGGCTAAGTACACTACCCAAGAAGTAGTAAATGTAGAGAATGCAAAACAGAATACCAAATAGGAGACAAGGAATTTTACAAAATTACGAAAAACCCTTACCTTGTTTTTATGCGCATTTGGAAGTTAGTAAACTGAGCGAGCCAGGTGGATGTGCTGTCTAAACCACGGAATGAAGGCACCTAAAATATTGCCAGCTACTTTTATTTGAGGTTTCGTCCTTGAGTCACGACAAGTTTGTTAAAATTCCGAGATGGACTGTATAGCTGTTTTAGCGTTCCGCAACTCGAGAAATTCTAGAAGGTTTCATGTCCGCGATCTTCGGATTTAGTTCAACCGCTCGCCTATGAAAGGATAATCAGCGGTCTGCCGAATACTGCTTTGTCCCGAATATATCCTCAGTTAGTCATCACCCACCATCAATTAATCGATCCATTGGATCACCTTGGAGTTTTTCGTGATGCGTCCTGTCGCATATTTCAAACAGGTTCAAAACGGCTGCACGATTCTTCTTGGCATGAAGTAGCTCCACCAAAAAGAAAATGCCTCAATGAAAGTTTACAAACATTTACATGAAAAACTGGTTTCTCGTCTTTGACAAAAGGGCACCAAACTTATGGCTAACGTAACAATCATAAAAATGAATCATTCATTGTACCTGATGATTGAACTGTACCACTGTAAAAACACAAGACTACACGGTAAAATCGGTGACCTATGTTCAAGATTTGGTTGGTTTCAGAACTGTATAAGATAAACTCACCTATTTTACGCATAGGTCAAACATGCGGGACTGATGGGTGGACTGGTGTTGCAACCTTCGAAATAATACCTATCCAGATCATAACTTCTAGGTTGAGGACAAAAGCTGTTTCTTCACTTTTGCTTAAAACCAGAGAGATGTAAAATACACTGTGATGAGAACGACAACCATGGCCTTAAAATTAGTTCCATAGAAATTGTTTCGCTAATGATATGAGCAGACTCTTTAAAATTTGGAAACAAATACTACGAACTTTGTTGGGCAAGGTCAATTCAAGAGATGCGCCACAGACTTACTGGGACAAGACCCGGACACACAAAAATTTCGTTGAGGAAACATGAATAAATGCTGAATCTACCAGCCTTTGGATGTCAAGACAGCTGATATGTTCTCGCAAAAATAGCACTTCCACGATCCAATAATACTGAGCTCTATCTGAGTTGAAACGTGGCCTCCAGAGACCCTGTTTGTTCTTTAGCTATCAGTGAAAAATTCATGCACCTATATGAAACTTCTACTCGAATTTCAGCGGCACAATTGTTGGTGGAGGAAAGTAAGTTTTCACTGTTACAACAATTAGATTTCTTCTGTATATTTTCATGAAAAATGTAATGATAGTTCATGATTCCACTGCAGCAAGCGCGGCAATATGGAGTTCCAATTTTGGGGATTTGCGGGATAGGAAAGTTGTACATAGTCACACCACTCCCGTTTGAAAGGCCGTGTTCCCGTTCTGGCATAATTATTCGGGTGAGTCCACACCAAAGGGAAGCACTGAACTCGAGTTTCGCTCTTATTAGAGCTTATCAGCAGTGCATATCCAAAGGCCGTGCTGGTATTTGAACCCAAGATATCTGACAAGCGAAGCGAGCGTGTAACAACTACTCCACCAACACGCGTTGGACGCATCTGAATTTACAGGTCTGAACAGGCGAACGTGATCACAATTGAGCGATGTGATTCGAGTTACCGACTCATCGGTCGACGACCCAGTTGTTGTTGTATTTTGACATAAAAAGTGGGTGAGCAGGCTTGTACTTTCTCAAATTTCTTGGGAATTTATAAAGCGCTGCATAAGATTCAAAAGAAGTCTATACGCCAAAGTGATTAAAATCAAAATATTACTTGATTCTTGTTGCATTTTCACTTGAGGAAGAAAATACCAGTAACATCATTTGTTCGGCTTAGTACGACACAAAAAACGAAGTACAAGGAATTCCCTGGATTTACGTTCCAGAAGCAGTGCCCCCGCAAATTTGTGGGCTATTCATCTTAACCTCCAATGGTGCACAATTCGTCCTTTGGGATTCTGAGTCATCCTCTCCAGCCTTACAATTAAAACCGAGCTGATTTATAAGAAAATTCACTTTGTTCTTCTATATGAAGCAACAAACAGTTTTGCAAAATATAGGCCAAAATAACAAGTGCCTGCAATTGAGAAAGGTGCAGAAGTGTTCAACAAAACAAAACAGCACAAGAATGCAAAACGTGTGGATATAAAATGTTCACAGAAGACCAACGAACACCTGCAAACGATAAGATGGAAGGCCGTCATTCGGCCGATCACTCTATCTAAATTTTGTGTACTTATTTTAAAAGGTGCCAAATATCTTGAAGACGGTAAGCCATATTTCGGCGTATTTTAAATAATAATACCAAACTGTATATGCAATTGTATGTGACGAAAGTTAGCATAAGTATAGGTTTTTTTATGGATAGCTCCAAATTACTGACGCAGGCGAACAAACCATCAAATCAATGTTTCATGCCTCACCACTTGGCCCTAAACTACGCGTCGATAACAATTTATTATTTTTATTGTAACTCTCGATTAAATCATAATTTACTGTGCCAAATTTCGTCAATCTATCCCGTTTTTAAGCCTCGAATTTGTAAAAGAATCCGGTAAACCGCTCCAAAGCCCAGCGCGTTTGGACACTAAATGAATGCAGCTGCGGCACCTGCAATTAATAACTCAGAGCGTTAAACATATTGGCACATATAAGATGGTCAATCTCATGGTTGATTTTCGGAACTCAGCAGACTGTCCTAATGTTGCTTATATAAACTAAAAATGTCATGTAATCCAAAAGCGTCTACTGGCTATTTTTATCGTGCTTATTCTTAGCTGAATGTTCACAAGATTAGCAAAAGTAGCTTACGACGAGTTTGTTTCGTATACTGAACTTTCTAAGTAAAGTGATTTCAGAATACAGGTAGGATTTTTTTCGTTAAAAGTGCATCCCAAGTGTCAGATTTGTTCCCCTATTTGTTACACACCACTCGGTAGCAACTATTAGGGGTTCAGTTTTAGGAATGTCATTTGAGCGAATCCAAGTGTTCATCAAGGGCGTTATCTTAAAAGAGAGGTTTTGAAAGATCTTTGACAAATTCTCATTCTAAGGTCACGTATTCTCTACAGAAGAAATTCGGTCAAGCCTAGTCTATAGGCAAAATCTTTCTTTGCACTGTCTGCTTAATCAGAGACCAATTTCTTTTGTCCTTACCAAGGTTCATGAATGTATACTCTCGGCTCGTTGAAGCAATATACATATATTTAACAATAGATGTGACGGCTGTAACTGGTAGGCGCTATTGTTAGCTATTAACTACAGAAAAACTCCTAGGTTTGGATAAAAAATATGGTTGATTTAGTGCAATNTAACAACCACTCCACCAACGCACGTTGGAGGCATTTAAATTTACAAGTCTGAATAGGCGAACATGTCCACACTTGGGCGATGTGATTGGAGTTCCCGACTCATCGATTGACGACCCAGTTGTTGTTGTATTTTGACATAAAAAGTGGACGATTGGGCTTGGGTACTTTCTCAAATTTCTTGGGAATTTATAAAGCGCTGCATAAGATTCAAAAGAAGTCTATACGCCAAAGTGATTAAAATCAAAATATTACTTGATTCTTGTTGCATTTTCACTGTTAAACACTTCAGGAAGAAAATACCAGTAACATCATTTGTTCGGCTTAGTATGACACAAAAAACGAAGTACAAGGAATTCCTTGGATTTACGTTCCAGAAGCAGTGCCCCCGAAAATTTGCGGAATGTTCATCTCACCACCAGTGGTGCAGAATTCATCCTTTAAGATTCTGAGTCACCTGCAACTGCCTTACAATTAAAATCAAGCTGATTTATAAGAAAACTCACTTTGTTTTTCTATATGAAGCAACAAACAGTTTGCATAATGTTAGGTCAAAATAACAAGTGCCTGCAATTGAGAAAAGTGCTGAAATGTTCAGCGAAACAAAACAGCACGAGAATATAAAAACTGTGGACATAAAATGTTCACAGAAGGGCAACGAACACCTGCAAACGAATAAGATGGAAGGCTGTCATTCGCTTGATCACTCTATCTGAATTTTGTGTACTTATTTTAAAAGGTGCCAAATATCTTGAAGTCGGTAAGCCATATTGCAGCGTATTTGAAATAATAATACCAAACTGTATATGCAATTGTATGTGACGAAAGTTAGCATAAGTTTTTTTAATGGACAGCTCCATATTACTGACGCAGGCGAACAAACCATCAAATCAATGTTCCATGCCTCAGCACTTGGCCCTAAACTACGCATCGATAATAATTTATTATTTTTGATGTAACTCTCGATTAGTTCATAATTTACTGTGCCAAATTTCGTCAATCTATCCCGTTTTTAAGCCTCCAATTTGTAAAAGAATCCGGTAAACCGCTTCAAAGCCCAGCGCGTTTGGACACTAAATGAATGCAGCTGCGGCACCTGCAATTAATAACTCAGAGCGTTAAACATATTGGCACATATAAGATGGTCAATCTCATGGTTGATTTTCGGATTTCAGCAGTAGTAGACTGTCCCAATGTTGCTTATATAAACTAAAAATATAATGTGATCCAAAAGCATCTACTGGCCATTTTTATCGTGTTTATTCTTAGCTAAATGTACACAAGATTAGCGAAGGTAGTTTACGACGAGTTTTTTTCGCATACT